TTAGAAAAATCTTACTGATATCTGAAACGAAAGTATTGAATTTTATTTAGATTTAAATTTAAACAAAATACACTCAGTTTATATCAATCTTCTACAAACATAGAAAATCGAGATGCATTCACGTATAAAAGAATATATTTAAAAACATTATTTTCAATAAATTTGACATCAAGTTATATAATTAAATATAAAAGTTTTTTTAATATTATTCTAATTTCTTTCCAATGTTAAAACATAACTTTTCATATAAAAAAATATTTTTATATTAAATAGTTATGTTTAATATACTACAAACAAAAAACTGTTGAATGCATCTACATAAACACCTTATAAGAAGAAAATGTAATATATTGTATTTTTCTTTGTAATAATAATATTATTAAATACTGAAAAATATTTTAATTATTAAAATAATATGAAATTTTTGAAGAATAGTAGAGTAACAAATTTTTAAAAAATAGCTGTTGCGTCACTGTAAAATCATTGTTATTTAAATAAGTTAAGAATACCTGCTCTCGCTTGGCGTTTTTCTCCTCTTTTTCCCTTTTTCGGACTTCCAAGAGATACTCGTTGAAGAGGCTTTCCCGTTCGCGCATCTTTTCCACGTTCTTAAATCGTTCGTCACGTCCATGCTTTTGTGCAAAATCACTAAATGATGATCTGCAAGTTAACAAACTATATACATATAATTATATAGTTTATTATATACATATACATATATTTATATTAATAATGTTCAAGTATATGCTATGTGTACATATATATAAATATATTAACATACTTTCCATGAAGATTAGCTTCTTCCAAAAGTTTTTGAAATTGTTCTTTACGTTCTTTCATCTTATTTCTTTTCTCGCGTCTTTCCTCCTCCGCTCTCTCCTTAACATATTTTTCAAAAACCTGCTTCCTTTCTTTTGACGTTAAAAGTAAGTAACGTGGATCAAACACGATCTTATGAAGCTCTTTTTCCCATGTGCTAAATGCTGATACCTAATATATACAACACATACAATTATGCATACATTTTTTTAAATATAAATATTGCACATGCTATATTATAATATAATTTATAAAATTAATATATAAATTATTCTCAAAACAAAACGTACATCCTTCTCTGCAAGCATATCTTTGAATGATTTAATCCTAGTTTCCAGTGGAACAATAGCTCTTTCCCTTGCTGCCTTGACTTCAGCTTCGATTGCTGCTTCCTTCCCAATATCGATCGTTTTCTTACCATCCTTGTCCTCTTCTTCTTTTACAGCAGCAGCTTTATATAAGAAAATATTATATAATGTTATCTATTCACAAACTATCATTTACACTATATAGAGTATGTAACATACGTTTAGGTTCTTCTTGTTTTATTTTCTTAGCAGGAGTTGGTTGATCATCGTCACTGCTTTCGCTAGTATCCGACTGTCGTACAGGTTTAGGTGTTCCGATTGCATCTGGTGGCGTAGATGTCATTTTGTCAACCTCTTGACGGCCAATAAGATCATCTGGTCTTTCCCAGACAGAAATTCTTGATGAAGGATTATAAAAAAAGACTCGTCCATCACCAGTCCATACGACACACCTAAATAGATAAATATATAATAATACTAAATGATATAATATAACAATATTATGTTAGAGAATTAAAATATACCATGGTGTTCCTGGTACAGGTGTACTGGAAATTGGTCTAGATTTATCTTGAGGTTTAACTGTTTCTTTAGAAGAAGCTTCTTCTTTCTTAGGTTTAGCCTCAGATTCTTTCGCATTATCTTTGGTATCATGAGTACTCTCTTGTTTAACTTCTTGCTTATTACCTTCAGAAGGGCTTTTATTATTGTTGGTACTGGAGGTAGTTGCAATAGTTGTAGAAGTAGCAGTTGATATCTCTTCTGCTTTTTGACGAAGTGCTAGTTTCGCGTCTATTAAAATATTTAAATAAAATAATGTCTTAGTAAATGCTACAACATTGTATAACGCAATATTAAATTAACTTCTTAAAAACATTAATTATTATCTAACAGTACAAATTAACTGCGTTGTTTATTTTTAACTCACTTTCTAAGTCTTTCAATGCCTGTGGTTTCTCCCACACAGATTCTCCTGCTTTACTATTATAATAATATGATCGTCCATCTGGAGCACGATGTTCTGTCCAAATCATAGCTGATGCAACTAATTCAGAATCAAGTTGTGCTAATATGGCTGGATCTTCAGCAGGAGCTTGAGCTGTCATTACACTGTGTGGCATTTGTGGCATACCTAATAATAATAAATTATATAATATCTTCAACATCTTCAATCAGACATAAAATTTTATCTAGTAAAACATTTATCTAATATACCCCAGTTTGTCTGCGGTGGACCATAACCACCAAATGGTTGAAATCCTGGTGGTGGCATACCAAATGGAGCTGTACCAAATTGAGTTGGAATTGGACCACCAAATTGATTGGGCATCCTATGTTGCATTGGCATCATATTTGGTGGTGGTTGCATTATATTTGTATTCATGGTCGATGTATTTATTGTTTGAGCATTTGCAACTGTTGCAGGTACTGATCCTGCATTGTATAAAAAGTATATTGTAAAGTTTACAAAATGGTACAATATATATATGAGTAAATCATTAGAATAGATAATAATAGAAACAAGATTTACTTACCATTAGTTTGACTTGTATCTGATGGTTGTGCATTGACATCTGGAGCATCATTTAAAGACGGAGGAGGTCCTGTACCTGGAGGTGCAGTACTCATCTGATTCAACGCATCTGCGTTATTAGAGGATGATTGTTCATTACCCTGAGATACTCTATTTTCATTCACTTGCGTTGGAGTACTAGGTGTTGATGTAGGAGTGGTAGCACGAGCTGTTTGTTTCGATGCCCCATGTACTAACTGTTCCAGCTAATGTGTTAAGCGTAAAATTATAATTATGTTATGTTTTTAAATATATATTAAACTTATGTATTAAGATATTGTAGAAAGAATTACTGTTATTTTATTATGTTATTAAATATAACTAACCTGGTCTTGCACCATAACTTTTACATTGGAACCTTCGGGTTTTGTCCATGTTGTCTCTCTAGATCGTATATTATAATAATACAACTTTCCATCCGGTGTTTTAGTTTCTACCCAAACTTCTCCATTAAGATCAAGTCCTGGAATGTTTCCTTGAGGTTGATTTTGTTGTTGCTGGTTTGGTTGTTGACCTGGAATCTGTTAAACACCTTGCAATTGCTTATGTCATACTACACATTATACATCTATTATTAAACTTATGACTAGCTTACGCTATTCATGTTGGGTGGTCCCATTCCAGGAGGTGGCCCATATGGTCCTGGTCCTGTTCCAATAGGACCATTCATCATATGTGGTGGTGGCTATTAACACATACAATAGACAAAGGGATACCAGGCAAAAATAAAAGAACAATCATAAGGAATGTTCTTTTATAAAACTATTTATATATTATGTAGACATTGATTTTTTGAAGGAAAATGAAAAAAATGAAAAATTATATAAATATTAACAAATACCGATATTCTTCCAGTTGTTTACTTTGATAGTATGTCTCCCATCTGCTTTTGCTTTTACCAGAACGCATTCAGCTTTATAACAATTGATTGCATAATTTATTGAATATATTAGCTAAGAAGATACAGATATCTGAGAAGACTATTATCATTATAATACAAACATTATTTTAGATATTATATACATATATATTCTATATATTATATATATATATATATAATATATAAAAAAGAAACAATGTTCTTTACCATTCCTGGTGGTCCCATAAGATTTGGTGGTCCCATTATGTTAGGTGGTCCCATAGGTCCCCAGCTCGGATCAAAAGGTGGTGGCCCTCTGAAACGGGGACCAGCTGGACCAGGTGGGCAGTTGGGTCGTGGCGGGCCCTCAAATGGGTATCCATTATTGGCTCCACGAAACATTGGACCCCTTGGACCAAAACCTCTTCCTCGAAACCTTGGAGGACCGCCTCTCATTGGAAAATCAAAGCCACCTCTGCCAAAACGTTTGAAATTACTTTTCTATGTTTTAAATATCTTTAATTAATCTCTAATCTACAATTTAAAATATTTGTGTAAAGACTTAACTCGCTACTGTTAACATCAATGTTTAGCAAGGAAATAAATAGAAAGCACAAAAGTTTTTATTGGATAATTGACATCAATAAAGTTGTAGAATTATGTCAAATGCATGAAACTGCATTAATCATCTTAATCATCATATAATTAAAAAAAAAGAATGATATTCTTTGTGTTATCATTTTAATCACGCAACAAAACGTATTTGTTGTTCTTCGTTGTCAATCGTAGAAAAAAAATGTTAGTCATCGGTTACGCTGAAGGGCTTAACCTAACTTTAATGGAGTCAATATTAAAAGGGGAATATGAAAAATGAAAAAAATAATTTTAAGAGTAAACAAAAGGACTGACGCACCTGAAACTACCTCTTCCTCGCGGTACGAAGTGCCGATATTCATCTCCATCGAAATTATAATCTTCCGTTTCTTCCATGTTCTCGTCATTGTGCTCTTGTTCATTGTTGAGATTTGCTTCGACGATTCCTGATGCTTGTTCATTATTCGGTTCCATTATATTTCGAACCGATTTGCCGAAACTAATTTAACTTTTACACAATCACTTATGACTTTTTCTTAGCTTGCAGAAAAATGCCGCAAACTGATCACTATTTTATTCGTGAGCCGTAAACATAGTATCGCCAACTTATAAAAAAATAATTACTAGTCTTTACTGAACTGCACATGATCGTCATGAATTGGACAAACGATTTACAAACAAAATAAAATAATAATATTAATAACAATTTTAAATAAAAATATATAATTTTGTAATACAAATAATCTATTATTAACACTTATTTATTAATAAAACTAAAATCACTTTTTTCATTTTTTAATGTAAACAATCGTAGATATTACTAATGTATAATATTTTTACTATTTATTACTTTTTTATTCAGAATTATAATCAGAATCAAAATCAAATTCTTGTGTTTGAAAAACTAATTGTTTATGTGCTTGGTGTGCAATATTCTTTACTGTATTATTATTATAGTCCAATAATTTTGCGCTATTCTCGGATGTAGTATCTTTCCATAGTTTAGTAGTATCCATAACCTTGTTTGATTTCAAATCTATACATGATATACCAGAACTACCAATACTCCATAATATTCTAAAATTAAATGAAAAATATTCTAATTTTTATATTTTCCTTCTTATGACATCAAACATAAACTATATAACACATAATTTCTAACTGTTTAGAATTGTTATCTTGTTGAAATTCTGAATCGTTTTTGTTCTTTTTGTTCTCAGATCTTATATTCACATACATTTCATCTAATAAAGTAACATTTTATTATTAAAAAATATATTAAAAGTATTTTGCAAACTTATATACTTACTCTCACTTTCAATTTTTTCACATAAATCAAACCAGTTAGGGCTTTTAGGTTTGAATGAATGACTAATTAAATATTTAGGATTCAAAACAATATGTTCACGTTCCTTAGATGCACTTTTAGTTTTATTTTTCATATTCAGTTGTAAACCATCGGTATTACTTTCTTCTGCCATTGTTTTGATATTTATTATCGTTTTATTTAATATCTACAATATGTAAAATAATAATTATCTTGATAAATTTTAATATCACACGAAATCTTTAGAGAAAAATTCATATTTTTTATTACTGGTTGCGAATATTTGGTAAACAAATTCATCCAACATTCTTTTCTTCTATTTATAATCTTTTTTGCTTTGCAGAACTTAGATGTAGTATGCTTTTTATAATTTTTTGAATGTCTAATGAATTAAGATTGAATTAGAATTTAATTGTTTTAATTGAAAATATTACTTTAACACTTATATTTATTTTCTTTCTGTATAAATAATTATAACGTTAATTATTACCTTGTAATTTTATACATTACTTAACAGATTAACAACCTTCATGAACTATCAACAAAGGACGAACGAATAATTTCAAAAGCCCGCGTGTTAGATTTTAAAACTATGCAACAACATTAGTCAAAAATACTACGTAATGAAAACAGTAAGTTAGTATAAAAAAATTACGTCACATAGACATTTCTTTGATATTGGTGTAAGTATTAATATTTAATATTTTTAAATATATTTTTTTAAAATTATATAAAACAGTTTATACAAATGAATTTTAATTTCTGATCCTAAATAAAAATCGCCATTTTTAGCCTATGTCAATGAACGATCTTGTAGATATAATGAACGATCTCACGTGTTAATACGTTTTTAGTAAATTTCTACACAGATTATGAAATTCAAATATTCAAGCTTAGATAATATGAAAAATGAATACCAAATCTAATTTGTTATTGATAAAATATCCAGTCAAAACAATTTGTTCTTTTTGTACAGTAAGCATTAAAAATACTTTGCTTGTTTACATAACACAATGTAATAGATTTAATTAATCATATAACTAATTTCTTTTATATCAGAAGATATCAAAACCTAAGGCACAAAATGAAATAAATTTTGATCAAATTGGAAATCCGGATCCTATTTCGCACTTAAGACCAATCCTTTTTAAAAAACCCTTCAATGAATCTAAGTTGGAAAAAGAATACAGAGAAGCAAGAGAGAATATTCAGCTATGGAATCAAACATTTTGGACTAAACACAACAAGAGTTTCATACAAGTAAGTATTATTAATATTAAAAAAGTCGATAAGATTTTTTGTTAGCATATTTTAAACTTCAGGAACGCAGTAAATTTCAAGAAACATTGAAGGCACAAGGTAAAACATCATTAACAGCGGACGACATGTCTGTTTTTTATAAATATTTCCTTGACAAAAATTGGAGACTACACTTTGACTATAATATATCGTGGTATAAAAAAAATATTTATCTTTTACTACTCGAATTGAAAGTTAAAATATCTAAATTGACATTTAGATGATTAATATAGAATTTAAATTTTAAAAAATTCATATGTAGTATATTTGTAAAAAGTGATATTAAAAAGATTTAATTATAATAAATAAAGTTAATAGTTAAAAGCAATGATACACGACTGTACTTTAAGGAGTGAATACATTAATTTACTTTTTTTACAAATTGAATAAGGTGAAACAAAACTTGTTACTAATCTTATTTTTACAGCCGCATTTTTTAGGATAAAAAGTCATTTGATTTGCGCACAGTTGTTTTCTTTCTGTAAGCAAATTCTCTCATGATGTATTCAACTTCTTCTTCCTTTTCTTTCAGTTTTAATACTAGAAATTTACACTGTTGTCTTTCAAAAACCAATTGTCTTTGATAATGTCGTATAGAAGCATATAGTTTCTGTAAAGCTTCTTTTGCTGCAATTAATGCTTTTTGCTTTTGTTCTTCTAACAAATGTAGTTCTGCTATTAAATTTGGACAGTTCTTGCACTCAATGTTATATTTTTCATTTAATTGTGCTTCCGCAGTAATTAATGCAATTCTTAAAGATTCGCATGTTTCTTTTTCATGAACTAATTCATTTCTAATTTCTTCAAATTCAGATGCAGCTTGTTGAGCCATAATTTCACTATTTTGTAATAGCTAAGAGAAAAATATTTTAAAATATAAATTTTAGTTGAAATAATTCAATTAAAATTAATACGATGTGTTCAAAATTACGCGCGCTAGACGAAGTACCACGTTAATCAAAAATATGTGCTTACACGTTTCTGCTTTTTTATTGTTTCATCTTGTTCTTCTATAATTTTAGTTTTAATATTTAACATACAATTATAATCGTCCTTAAAACGTTCTAATTCCTCTTTTAAATTATTGCATGTGACCGATTCCTTATTTAAGGTAGATTCTAAATTTTCGATATTATTTTGCATTCCGGTGCATTTGTAACTATATGACTTCAGTAGTGATTGCATATCAGATAGTTTCGATTCCTGAAAACATAGTTACCTAACCTAATTTTCTATAGAATTTATTTGTAAACTGTGTAGAAGTAGAATAATATATTAACCTTTTCAATAATCGTTTTACTTTTGTTACGTAAGCTGCATTGTTGTTTTTTACAAATATTAGTTAATTCGCATATTCTTCTTTCTTGTATTTTTGTAACATTTGTGAGTTCTGCAATCAATCCTTTCAGTTCAATTATTTCTGCTTGAAGAATCTGTTCTTTTTGTTTAAATATATTTTTTATACCGTTTACCTCATCTTGAACGACTGTGCAACTTGAAAATGAAAAATATATATTATCTAAAGCAATATAATTAAATTGTAATCTCGCAGTATATTAATTTCATGTATTACGTTCTCATCTCGCATTCAGAAGCTGTCCGCAATTTAAATTTTAAATTCTGGCATTCGCAGCACAAAGATGCATTCTTGTCAATGACATTATTCATTTCCTTCTATAAAAATAAATTTGTAATCCTTTATCTTGCAAATTTGATTCACTTACTTTCAATATTGACATAGCTTTTAACAATTTGTCTTTCTCTGCTGTAGCAGTGTTAGTTTCATTTTTGGCTAACACGAGTTCTTCCTCTGCTTTTTTTAATGCATCTTTCAAGTTAGAAATTTCCTGTTCGCTATCTTCCTTCAACTTAATTAAATGTTCTTTGGCACTTTGCAACTTGTCTTCCAAATCTCTCTTTTGTTTCTTTTCGTTAGACAAATCCTGATAAATCAACCTGGATTATATAAATAGTCTTTTAACTGAAATCATAGATTAGAACGTTTATTTTATATTATTATTATAAATATGACAACTTTTTGAATTCTTTCCAAGCTTCTTTTACTCAAGGTATTTGTTTTGTTTTGATTATTATCCGCTAATGTTATAATCTCTTCTGATTCTTTACTTTTATCATTGTCTTGTACCGGAATTTCTAACGAAGTATTTACTACGTTGTTTATCTTATGATCAATTGCATTGTCAATATTATCTTGCACGTAAGAATTTATTTTTTCCAAATTTTGTACATTTTCTAATCTTGTGTCGAGTACCTGTCCTAGGAAAGAAATCATTTAATTAAATACTAAGAATGTTATATTTAATATTTTATTTAATTAAATGATATTATTTAATTAATTTACCAATTTCTTCGGTATATGCATCTTCCTTTGTGGTACCATTATCGTTTGTTTGTCTATGTGAATTATCTTTAACTTTTTCAACATTTTTATAAGCTGGTGATTTGCAAGAGAAAGAAGAGGATATAATAATAATAATAAGTAATTTATTAATTAGAATATACCATCTTTTTATGTACTAATGTTTCATTATATACTGATAATGTAATAAATAAAAGTAAATAATTATTTATATTTGTATAAATAAAAAACGACTTACATTTATTTATTTTATTGCATTGACAAAGGCAAGTACATCTTCTCCGAGTTTTGCAAGTGTTAACATTACATGGTATTTTTTTCTTATTTTCTTCAATAGATAACATATGGTGTGGACAATCGCAAATCTTAAACAGATTATTATTATTAATGTTAATGAATTAGATACTCTATACCTTATATTTAAATATTATATACCTTAGAATGTAGGACAAGATTTTTGTCGTATTCTTCTTCCATTTTTTGTAATTCGGCAATTGTCACAAGCTGTTGATTAAGTTCAGTTAAACGCGTTACAAGAAGAGACTTCCGCATTCCAAGTTTCTTCATTAATTTAAATGTATTCAAAATTTTGATTTGATGCTTGAGTTTATTAATTGCCTGACTAATTCAGGATTAAATGTGGAAATCTCTTGTTTATTCTTATCACAGATAGAATGTCACTTTTTTTTTTTTAACTTTCAACCTTTCAAAAATAACATCATCTATCAAAAAGAGAAAGTAATTTTTACAATTAATATTTCTCAACTAAATTGAATGTAAAGAAAATACATTTTTAATATGTAAAACCAAAATCATGTAATTTCTGTATCGTTTAAGAAAATAGTCTATTGAAAATATCAAATTGCAAATATATACGATTTTGAAATATGTGTAAATAAATATTTAGACATGTCAAAAAGAATATTAATATATATACGATGGCGCATACTACTTTTTTGTGGTATAGGACTGTGGGTGGCACTTTGCACAAATGACCTGTATTATAATAACGAATTGATACTTTCTACAGGTAAAGAAAAATATGATTTCATTAACTTCATCAATTTATTATTCAAGTAATATTTTAACAAGTTTATTGTGATTTTTTTTTTTTTTGGTAAAGATGAGATACTTCCAACAACAACAATTATACAAGAAATTTTAAATGAAAAGAACAAGACAATAATGAATAGTTCACATTTTATTGAACAAGATTATGAATCATCAGGTACAATAAGAAAATCAAGAATATTAACAACGTTTGTCATCATTTCTATATCCATTTGGTTTATTTTATTTACCATATGTATTGAAGAATACATCAAGAGAAAATCAAACAAATTTATAAACAAGTTAGTAAAATTTTAATTGATATATATATATTTAATATATAAAAAGTACAAATATATATAAATGATTATATGTATGTATATTGTAGACAAAACAACAAGAAAGAACTTCATTTTAATTCCAATAATAAGACATTAAAAAATACTGGTATACAAGTATCAGCATGTCCTTTTAATTATATGCTATCATCATTTAATATCAATTCTACTATCTTACATCAAGAATCAATAAGAAGTCATTATGAAAATAATGATGGATGGTTGAATACTCAACCACATCAAGAATGGTTTTCAATAAATAAATCATCGTCGGATACTTTAACATATGTTTTTGAAGAAAAGAAAAGTGAATCAAAAATTATTCATCAAAATTTAGAAAAGCATAAAGAAGAATTTAACAATAACAACAACAATGCACATAATCAACAGACGATTGAATATTCGTGCAATGAATTAGACATTTTTCAATTAGAACATATATCTAAATTAATTTATTATATTAATTTAAGTCGGTCATTATATTTTCAATCAACTTTATTTACTCAAAGATATGATATTAGTATATTAAATATCTGCACTACTTTATCGACTAAACATTCGTCGAATTCTACTTTATCGGTAGAATATTTAAATCAAAAAAATGACATCGTAGACAATAACAATGATGAAATAATTAATATTAATAAATTAAAAATAACGAACATCTGGTCAAGAGAAAAAGAAAAAACACGTATTATTAGTTCCTCGCCAGCGTTTCAATTATTTTTATCTAATTTCAAGTATTTCAGTTATACAAATAATTGTAAGCCATTGTATTTTTCAAAGATTTATCAATGATTAGAAAAGTAATGGAATATTTAATAAATCAATATCTCTTATTTATTAGAGATTATTTTTTTATATTATACGCACATTTACGTATAAATATAAACAAATATAAATTAATATTTGATTTCTACATATTATCATCAGATGTTGAGATTACTTCTGTACTATTTTTTTTTTTTTTTCAAATATGTCATAAGCATGTTTGTAAACTATATCTATAAGTAAGTTATAGAATTTAACATCTTTGAAATTTAGTCAATCGTTAACGTAACGATAGTCTAAAAGTCTATTTCGCAATATTTTCTTCTAAACTATGGAAACATTAAATTATCTTGTAAGTAATTAATACAAATTAAAAGTCACATATAAAATCTGTAAATAATTATTTTATCTTTATAACAAATTTATTTCATATTAGTTATTTGCATTAATTTATGGATCGATCGTTTCAAGAGGACAATGTTTAAACATAAAACTAGACAAATATTTGAATGAAAAATTAACTGAGGCTAAAGTTAACATCGCCAGAAGTCATATTCAAGCTTCACAAACTGGTAAAAACTCATAAAAATGATAACTAATTAAAATAAAGAATTGATAATATATAGAAAATTGATATAATTATAGTTTTTGTTAACAATTATAATGTGAGTTGGACGAAATCATGGGATACGATATGGGGTACGGAACAACCATTAACGATAAATACGTTTAATCAAATTTTATTCTCCTATCGTAATGGAAGTTTGGATATTTCTATAAACGTTTCTCCATCTTACAAGGATTTCAAATTAAAAGAAAATAGTACCATTGGTCAGGCCTATTTTATCAAATTTATTAGAGTACGTTTATTATGTAAACATTTTTTATTACAATATTTTGTTGTTGTTCGAAATAATAATTAATCGTTTATTTTTTAGGCAATTAAATGGAAAACAACTCTTTATCTTTTTCTTTGTTACAACGTCGGTTGGTGCAGTTTGTACACGGGAAACGATATTACAAATTTAACTCATAGGCAACATATTCAATATTTAGAATTAATCGATGCTCACTTCTTTACTAAAGCTAATCGACTTTATTTAATATTAATTGACAATATAAGCGTGTAAGTATTGTAAAGGACTGTCCAAAAATTTCTAGGAAAATTTATTAAACACTTAAGAATATTTGATCTATCTCATAAATTAAATTCACATTTTTTACCAACGATTTAATATTAATTAATAATTTAAAACAGTATTTATGATTGGGCTGGCACTTACATGGACATCTACGAGAAAATATTTACTCCTTCAGCTGTATCAGTTGTTACGTTTAAATCTAAACAATCGATCATTATAATATTTGCGCAAAATTCTAAATCCGATTCTAATATCGCATCTACTGTTTACGAATTTAAAGAAAACGATATCAAAATAATACAATTTTTACCTACAAATAAACCAATTTCCGTTCATCATTATTCTTATAATAATGATCAATTCGTTTTAATAACTAATGAAATAAATGGAAGTAATGTTTATTGGTGGGACGGTTAGTATTAAAAATCTATTAGAAATCTTTGTATAATATTTTCTAATTTGTTTATAAAATAATTCAAATTTATTCGATTATGTTTTTAGGTACAGAATTATTAGAATGGATCAATATTCCTGAAATTAAAGCACATTATTCTATGCAAACAATATATTTACAAGATGGCACTTATTTTATTGTTGCCCACGATGTAAATGCAAATATATCAATTTTTATGAATATTTTTAAACATTGATTAGTAACTTTTTCATAGATTTTTTTTAAATATTCTAGGACGTTGCGGAATTATTTAAAGTATACAGTATAGCCAATTATACTTCTGTAAGTGTTCAAAAGATAAATAATAAACATAAAATAGTGGATATGCAGACATTATTACGTGACGAGAATGTAACTTTAATAATGACTACAATGAGTCGCGAAGGATTGTACTTTATTGAGATTTGGGATGTAGATATAAAAAATAAAACCTCCCATGGTGAATTAATTAAATTTTCCAATTTAATTGTAATTTTTCAATTTCCATTTTTAATTGTAAAAATTTAATTTTCTTTTTATAGGAAATAAACTAACAATAACAGACACATTACGAGAATGTTTATCAGAAGTCGTTAGATTATTACAAAACAGATTGATGATCATTAACAAATTCGAATCATTCTTTGTAAAACAATCTTCGTCTAAAAATAATTCGAATGTTTGGGATGTAATCGAATTGCCGAGTATCGTTTTGAAATCCGGTGTCATAGAACAAATTAATTTATTCGTCGAAGAAGAAGTGCTGACTCCATCCGAGCTTCGACAAAATTTGGATAATCTTGAATTGAAGATTAACAATTTATCCAAAAAATCATTAAATATGTTAAAAGCAAATAATACAAATAATATAAATGGCACGATCGATATCATTGGTGATGCATTTTTCAAAGAATTGATTATCGATACGATATCCATTGATAAATTAAATAATGTTAGCATACAATCTAAAGATCTTATATCTTTAAAAGGTGATCAACAATTTTCATCGATTTTACGCGCTCAAAATATCATCGTTCATGATCTCCAAGTGAATTCTCTTTGCGGAATTCCTAATCAATGTGAGTATTCCTCTTTTGAATCTCTCCTGAAAGATATTCAAGTTTTTTAAGAACTGATGTTGATTCCATTACGTCATCATAGATTGGGCTACGATTGAAAACAAGGACGAAAAGATATTAATTAAAGAGAGTGATAGGATGAGACAATTATCTAATAATGGAGCATTTATTTATTCCAATATTTCTATACCTAATTTGAAAGTAAATAAGATTAATGATATTAATATGGATCAATTGATCGATCAACTTTTCGTTATTGGTGGAAATCAAACGATTACAGGTATAACTTATCTTTTTTTTCTATTAATTTATTATTTATTAAAGAGTTTTATTAATTTAGGTAACATCAAATATGATTATTTCGAAGTGAAAAATTTGAAAACAAAAATGTACAACGAATTACCATCCTCGTGTTTGATGACAAAAGCATTCGATCAACATTTTCCAGAATCTTTTATAAAAACCCTTGAAGTTGATTCGCTTCATACAGAATTTATTAATGGTATCCCTATATCCGAATTTGCTATGAAATCACGTGAAAATGTTATTGATGGTATATTGTTATTATTTATATCTAAACTAATATAAAGTTGTTGGATTTGTATATTAACGAGAGAATTTTTATTTACAGGTGAAGTGATATTAGATAAAATGGAAGTAATAGAAATGTTCACTATGAATTCGCACGCAGAAATGTCGTTTATTCCACCTTCTCAAATTTATGATAACGTGAAAATAACTGGTGACGTTGTAGTGAAAAGATTTGATTTTGAAGAAAATGGAAAATTAATTATGGGAAATCTAAAAGTTAAACCAAGAGAAATATTTCATAAAATGTGGACAAAATCAACGGATCAAACGATTGAAAATGACATCTCATTTGATTATGGTGTA